ATCCCCGGCCGTGCCGGACCACCCCTCTGCCGGGACCACCGCCCCGCCCGGGCTGCCCCCGGCCCTTCCCACAGCAGCGCAGCGGGGGCTGAGCCCCAGGGCCAGCGCTGGCCCCCTCCCCCTGGCCTTGACCCAGCAAAGCTGCTCTCTTCCCCCTCCACGACGGCAACAAAGAGGAAAAGGAGGAGAAAAGTGTCTCTCCTCCGCCCAGGCGCCGGAGGCAGGAAGCCAGGGAGTCCCAGCTGCCCCCGGCTGGGTATCCCCACTCACTGCGATCCCACCGTTCCCGTCCCGGGAGCTCGCTGCTCGCCGCTCTGCAAGGGCTGAGCTCTTCCTGGCCCCTTGGCTCTGACGAAGGCCCTAAGAGAGGCAGCCTCTCCACCCCCCCTCCTCCCCACGTCTCTCCTCCCAAACTCCAAAGGAAATCAAGGGCCTTGGGAGCCAAAAGCTACAAGACAAGGGGAAAAAGAAAAATAATCTCATGATGTCGGAAGTGCTGTAAGCAGGGGGAAGGGAGAGCGCTGCAAACAGCCGAGGAGAGAAGAGGTGCAGGCTGTGAACCACCTCAGCTGGGCACAGCTGGGCACCCAGACAGCAGGATGGAGGGGAGGAAGGCAGGGAAAACAGGCAGCAGAGGGAAAGGAAACAAGATAGAGGCGGAGGGGGAGAAATCCAGCAAGGCAGAGAGAGATGGAGAAGCAGGAAGAAGTGGGAGCTCTCACTGGCAGCAGAGCTGAGGCAAAGGGGATGGCAGAACACACACGGCCTGGCAGTGCCAGCCCTGGGAGCATCCAGGGGAAGCCGCAGGATCCATCTGGGCGGTCCCAGCACGTTGGGCTGAGCGTGCAGGGCAGGTGGAAGCGCAGGCAGAGCAGCGCTGTGCCCGTGCCAGGAGGCAGCGCTGGCCCCAGGGAGCGCGGAGCACGCGGCGAAGCTTTCGAGGCGCTCCCAGCTTGCCTTCAACTTCTTCCAGAGCCGAGTGCGTCCAAGGGACACGGTCACACGCTGGCCAGCGGGCGGGCCTGTGGCTTGGGGGTGTCCCCGTGCCCGGCAGCAGCTGGGACGAGCAGGGAGAGAAGGAGCTGGGTGGGCTCAAAGCCCCTGAGCCGGGTGGGGGTGGCAGTGCCACGCTGGGTACAGGGGCAGAGCGGTGCTGGCACGAGTGGGTCCTGATCCCAGTGACCCCAGCCAGACTGGGGATTTCTCTACACGCTCAGGGCAGTGGGAAACACGATGGCACTGCTGGCTCTCTCCTCCCCGTGCCAGAGCCTGCAGTGGAGCTGGTGACATTGCCAAATGTTCCTTCCAGACCTGGATACCCACAGCCAGGCTGGCTGGTGGCAGGAAGCCGCCTGTCTCCTCTCTCCCAAGGTGTGAAGGGACTGTTGTTTTTGGCCAGCTGGACGCTGGTTTGTGGCCATGGGTGTTGCCAGGCCTGTAGCTACCAGGGTGGCCCTCAGCCAGCACAGCCAGCTCAGCCAGCAGGGCCACTGCTCTTGGTGGAGCAGGATCACTTCCCTGCACCATGGGGCCACCAACTGGACCCCCTCTGAGACCCATCCATCTCCCTGGGACCCCGCAAGCCCCCAGCCCAGTGAGGGCACAGCCAGCTCCCCACTATCCCCTGCAATCTATGCCTGGACTCAAGCTGTCCCCACCTAGAACTCGGGCTGCCCTTGGAGTGCCAAATGTCTCTGACAAAGTGACATCAGGAACCTGGGGAGGGTGAGTTTTGTTTCCCGTGGAAAAAGACCACTGTTTGTGTCCAAGGGCCCATGGCCAGGAGTGGGCTTCTGCCTGTGAAAATTACAAACGGAGCAGGATTCCTCCTGTGCCACTCTCTGTCCCTGCTCAGATCCTTCACCCCATCCCTGGCTTCCCTCCCTCCACCCATTCCTCAGTGTCCCCTAGCAGCACCCCCACACAGACCCCAGATGAGTCACCTGCTCCATTGGGTTTGTCAGCTGCTCACGCCGTTTATTCTGCTGGCTTTGGGGCTGTGGAACAGGGAAGCCCTGGGCTCTCGTGCCTGCAGCCTGGCTCACCTCTGCCCAGCCTGGCTCCGTTTGGGGAGCATCAGCCCTTTCCCTCGTGCCCCAGCGCAGCCCCTCCAGCACAAACCTTTCCCTGTGGGATATGTCACCTGCTCTCTAGGGAAATGGAGCTGTGGGCAAGCCCATGGCATCCAGGCACCAAACCTGGGCACAGGGGCTGACCCCAGGGCAGGCAAGGGGTGCCCCAACAGCAGGGTAGTTACAACAGGGAGAGCACGAGAGGGACGTTTGGGGTGGGGAGGGTGGCTTCAGCCCCTGTTCCTCTCCTCTGGCCGGCTCAGGGCTGGAAGCACTCTACGGGGTCATTGGAATCGGGCAGGATGTTGCAGTTGATGGGCCAGAGGATGCCGAGGAGGCCGAGGGACTGCTGGCAGCGCAGCTCTGCTGCCAGGCACACGGCCCGGCAGGGCTGCAGCACCCCCCCATCCGGGGTGCACTTGGGCACGAAGAGGCTGCAGATGAGCAGGCGGAGGTGCTGGTAACACGCCAGCTCCATCAGCGTCTGGGGACAGCGGGGACAGCGGTGTGAGCCGGCGGAGTGCGCTGAGGACAGCCCCACGGGCAGCCCCGGGCAGCTCACCTGGTAGTCCTGCAGCACCTCTGCAGCTCCCTCCTGGTCCGGGATGGCCAGCCAGATGTTGGGGAAGGAGGTGGCGTTGTAGCCCAGCCCCAGGCACATCTCCACTTCCACGGGCTCGCAGACAGACCCTGCCACAGGGAGAGGGGATTCACTTGTGCCAGCGGCAGCGCTGCCCACCGGCTGTGCCAGCCTGTGCCCCGGGGGACACCCAGGGTGGCACTCACCGAAGGCAGGGTAGGACACCCCGGTGCAGTTCAGCTCATCGGTGCCGTCGGGGCAGTCGTGCCAGCCATCACACACAGATTCCAGCGCCCTGCACTCACCATTCCCACAGGAAAACTCCGCGGGGCTGCAGGTCTCTGGAAGGGGAGAGGGCAGGGCATGGCTAGGAGTCAGCATGTTGCCATACTGACCACCCCTGGCTACACCCTGTCCAGCTTTGGGACATCCCAAATTCCCTTATTTTGTGTTATTTGGGGGCAGCCCTCAGGTCGTGGATCATGCCCTCTGTGCTGGTGAGCCCTTCCAGGTCACATCCCCATGGCTGGATTTATATATAAATTTATAGGGTAAATCAGGTGAGGTGGCCCTGGGGGTCTCTCGCTCCAAGCAGGGTCAGCTGTGAAACAAGAGTTGTTTTTCCCAAGTTTTTATCCAGCCTGGCCTTGAAGCCCCCCCAAGGATGGAGGTGGCACAACCCACCCTGGGCAGCCTGTGCCTCCGCTGGGCTACCTACTCTCTGTGGCATTGCGGGCTTGGTAGGTGGCAAAGAACCCATCATCTGCAACTCCCTCGTCCGCCACGAAGAGGATGGTCATGACATGCCGTGAGGAGGTCAGGGTGGGTGGCAGCTGGTGGCCACAGAACCTGCCGAGGTCATGGGATGAGGGATGGGGTCAGGGTGCTGAGCAGCACCTCCCCAAACCCTGCCTTTCTGGTGGCTCCTTCCCACCAGCCAGCCCCGTGCCTCAGTTTCCCCAGGTGAGCCACGGCCCCTGTGGCACCAGAGTGGCGCAGCAGGTCTGGGGGTGTCGGGTACCTGCCCATGAGGCTGGCGGTCCCCGTGCCCGCGCTGTCGTGCACCTCCACGAAGTCGAAGCTGCAGTCCTCGTGTGACTCCAGGCTGAAGTTGTGGAAGTGCAGGTCGATGACGTGGCCCAGGGGCACGGAGATCTGCCAGAGGCACAGCTGCGGGGCGGGGGGCAGCCGGCGACACCCGTGAAGCTGGGCAGGGGCACCCCCAGCTCTCCCCGGGGCAGGGGTTGCCTTCCTCCCCGCCCGCCCTCATCCTCACCGCGCTCCCACGGGACCCCTTCTCTCACCTGCTGGTGTGGGTATGGCTGGGGGTGGTTCGGGGTGGACAAGTGCCCCTCCAAGGCGGTCAGCGGCCCCCCGCATTCTGGAGGGACACACGGACACAGGCAGAT